CCCATCAACTGATGAATGGATAAACAAACTATGGTACATACACATAATGGAGTACTATGCAACGAGAAAGAACAATGATGAATCTGTGAAGCATCCCATAACATGGATGAAACTGGAGGACATTACGCTGAGTGAAATAAGTCAATCACTAAAGGACAAATATTGTATGAGACCACTACTTAAAAACTCATGAAAAACTTTACACACAAAAAGAAAAACATCTTTGTTGGTTACGAGGGATGGGAGGGGTGGTGTGGGGGGAAATACTAAATAGACAATAGATAATTGGTAAGTTTGGTGAAGGGTAAGACAGTACACAATACTGGGGAAGCCAGCACAACTTGTACAAGGAAAGGTCATGGATGCTCCACAGACACATCCAAACTCCCTGAGGGACTGAATTGCTGGGTAGAAGGCTGTGGGGATCATGGTCTCGGGGAACATCTAGCTCAACTGGCATAACACAGTTTATAAAGACAATGTTCTACATTCTACCTTGGTGAGTAGCGTCTGGGGTCTTAAAAGCCTGTGAGCAACCATCTAAGATACTCCACTGGTCTCACCCCTTCGGGAGCAAGGGAGAATGAAGAGAACAGGATACAAGGAAAAGATTAGTCCGAAGGACTAATGGACCACAGCTACCAAGGCCTCCACCAGACTGAGTCCAGTATAGCTAGATGGTGCCCGGCCTACCACCAATGACTGCTCTAACCGGGAACACAAAAGAGGGTTCTGGACAGAGCTGGAGAAGGATGTAGAACAAAATTCTAACATACAAAAAAAGTCCAGATTTACTGGCCTGATGGAGACCAGAGAAACCCTGAGAGTATGGCCCTGGGCACCCTTTTAGCTCAATGGTGAAGTCACTCCTGAGGTTCACCATTCAGCCAGGGAATGGACAGCCCAATAAAACAAAACAGGACTAATGAGGCACAGCAGTCCAGGGACAAGGAATAGAAGGCAGAAGGGGACAGGAAAACTGGTGATAGGGAACCCAAGGTTGAGTAAGGACAGTGTTGACATGTAGTGGGGTTCTTAACCATTGTCGTAGGGCGATATATGTATTAACTGTTTAATGAGAAAGAAAAAACAAAGAAGGGCACATTATGCAACAGGGCTACTGGTCCTCAGTTTCATAAAGCAGCTTTAAGAAGGTCTGCTTTAGATACAGAATGATTAAAGCATGTAACAAGGTTCTGGTGTTGATGGAGTTTTCATTAGTTTTAGCCACTATCTGAATACAAACATTTTGTTTGCAGCTGAAATAAAATTGTGAATATACCACATTTCTCAAACACTACTACAGAAAAATCAAGCCAAGCCTGACTCTGCAATTCCATAGTATGGTCACAACTAATGTTCATAAAGATCTTGAATTACTGTAATACTGTAAGTTGTCTTTAAAAAAGTAAGTTTTACTAACAATTCTTTGATATCCTAAATAAATCTGCTGCCATAGAGTCAATTCCGCCACATAGTGACCCTAAAGGACAGAGCAGAACTGCCCCGTAGGGTTTCCAAGGACACCTGGTGGATCTGAACTGCCGACCTTTTGGTTAGCAGCCATAGTTCTTAACTACTACGCCACCAGGACTTCCGATATCCTAAATATTAGCCATTAATCAGAAAAGAACATTTCTACATCAGAGAGCTTACTACATGTGCAAAACTTTCTTCGCCTTTATTATTAGTATAACTTTCATTAAGTTGAATTCATTTTAGTGCTGACTTCTGAAAACAAATATTTGGAAATTCAATGAGACAGATTTTTCTATGCAGATTAAAACAAAATCCCAAATGATTTTAGTCACCAGCACAGCCAGAGTAGGTTCAATGCTCAAATGATCTTTTCCCTAAAGGCAAGATGTGAAAATAAGGAAAATGGCAATCACATTTAAGAAGCAGTGTGCAAAAAAACAATCAACTAGAAGGTACAGTGGAGGCGCGGTGAGGAAGAAGGTTCCCCCCACAGCTGCAACTGCAACCAAGAGATAAAATTCCTAGGAATAAACTTAAGAAAATAAACGCATATGATTCTTATGGAGAAAATCTTAAACTAATCCCAAGAGACTAAAGAAGATGTAAATAAATGGAATTGTGTGCTGTAATCTTCAGTAAGAGTACGCAGAATCATTAGGCTATTCCTTGAGTAATCCTAAATTAATACACAAATGTAACACGATCCTAGTAAAAAGTATTCTTTCTAAGAAAGATCAGCAGTGCTCTTCTATGACGATTTCTAAGCTGTATCATCACCTAAATGAAGACTTCTATTGCTCCCCTTCAATCTTTTGAAGACTGGAGAAAAGACTGAAGTTGTCAAGGATTTCATTTTACTTGGATCCACAATCAACACCCATGGAAGCAGCAGTCAAGAAATCAAATGATGCACTGTACTGGGCAAATCTGCTGTAAAAGACCTCTTTAAAGTATTAAAAAGCAAAGATGTCACCTTGAAGACTACGGTACACCTGACCCAAGCCATGTTGTTTTCAATCGTCTCATATGCATGTGAAAGCTGGACAACAAATAAGGAAGACTGAAGAATTGATGCCTTCGAATTATGGTGTTGGTGAAGAATATTGAACATGCCATGGACTGCCAAAAGAATGAACAAATCTGTCTTGGAGGAAGTACAGCTTGAATGCTCCTTAGAAGCAAGAATGGTGAGACTACATCTCACATACTTTGGACATGTTATCAGGAGGCATCAGTACCTAGAGAAGCACATCATGCTTGGTAAAGTAGAAGGTCGGCAAAAAAGACGAAGATCGTGAAGTAGACGGACTGACACAGTGGCTGCCAACAATGGGCTTAAGCATAACGACTGTTAGGATCGTGGAGGACCAGGCAGTGCTTTATCTGTTATATGCAGGGTTGCTATGAGTCGGAATCGACTCAACGGCACCTAACAACTATTGCTCCTCTTGTTCTAATAAGCGCCAAATTCACATCACGAAAAATACAGGTAACCTTCAGAGTGAGAGTCTAGAATGGCTCTGCTCTAATAAAAAGATCAAGATGTCTGATTACTGCTGGTATCACATCTACGCCAGGCAGGAGTGTGTAAGATGAACGAGGAAGGTACATGTTCCATCTCTGTATACAAGCTCAGTTTATTTTTCCTTGAAGCTTCCAGAACTGAAACTTCAGGGCTCTAAAATGTTTTCTCCAATGCTAAAGCCACTCAACACAGCCATTTTTTTGCTTCATTGGGTGTCACGTTCTCCTTCTACGTTCACCTCAAAACAGAATGCAGAGGAAACTCATTCCAAACCAGTAAGACAGGTTACATTATTCTAGGTCTACCCCAACCTCCTCAGGTTCCAGGAAAAAAACCTCCATTTAACATGCCAGACCAGATTATACTACACTCAACCTCCTGTTAGTCTAGTCTGGTCCTTTGCCAATTTTAAGATGCAAGGGCAGGAAGACTTCAGGTAAGGAGTTGGAAACATAATTCCCAGCTTCTTTATATCCTCCATGCCCTCACTCCCCGGTGAACAGCCATAAATTTAGTCTAACAGAATGGCTTCCATTAAAAGCTACGACTGGGTATTAATGGTTGTTATGGATTCAATTGTGTCCCCCAAAAATGTATGTCAACTTGGTTAGGCTATGATTCCCAGTATTGCGTGTTGTCTTCCATTTTGTGATTGATGTAATTTTCCTATGTGTTGTAATTCCAAATGTCTGCCTGCATTTAATGAGGCAAGATTACATTATGTTCAAGAGGATTAGGGTGGAATGTAACACCTTTACTCAGGTCACATCCCTGATCCAATGTAAAGGAAGTTTCCCTGGGGTGTGGCCTGCATGACCTTTTATCTTACAAGAGCTAAAAGGAAAGAGAAGTGAGCAGAGAAGAGCGGCCTCATACCACCAAGAAACAAGAGCCAGGAGAACAGTGTGTTCTTTGGACCCTGGGTCCCCGTACTGAGAAGCTTGTCGACCAGGGAAGATTGATGACAAGAACCTTTCCCCAGACATGACAGAGAGAGAAAGCCTTCCCCTGGAGCTGGCACCCTTAATTTGGACTTCTGGCCTCCTAGACTGTGAGAGAATAAACTTCTTTGTTAAAGCCATCCACCTGTGGTATTTCCATTATTGCAGCGGTAGATAACTAAGACAATGGTAATAGGGAAGCAAAACTGTCAAAAAAGGTTTTGTTCCCTTCAAGTACTCTTGATTTCATGCATCCATGTGTTCCAATCAATGCTTCTGACAATCCATTCCACACATAATTTTTACAATAACTTATGACCCTATTTTGGGTCACTTCTAAATTGCTGCTGTCAAATCAACTGCTACTCATGGCGACCCCATGTGTGTCAGAGTAGAACTGTGTTCCACAAGGTTTTCAATGGCTGATTATTTGGAAGCTTTCTTCCAAGGTGTCTGTGGGTGGATTCCAACCTCCCAGCTTTTGGTTAGCAGACAAGCATTTGCAGCAATTATCTAGTGTCTAGCAAATCAAACAGACACTCCTTGACCACTACCAATTTTGTCCATCATATAATCCAATTACATATACTAAAGGTTGGATCTTCTACTCCAATCAGACTGGTCTTTTTATGGTTCAAGCTCTTACAAGATAAAACCAGCTCATTTTTGCCCTGTAACTTTGCTCCTGCTATTTCCCTAGCAAAGACTTACTTTTGCACTTAACATAGGAGAGTATCTGTTACAAAGGTAAGAAAGCACTCTAGTATGATTTTCTAACAGAAATCTAAAGGTTTACAAAATAGAAAATCATCATTCTGTAATAAAAATAAATCCTCACAAAGTTGTGAATATATTTAAAACAATTGTAAAGAAGCAAAAAACAAGTATTTAAAAAACTGCCACACACATCTTAGAAAAGACAAAATAGGTAACATTTTAATATTCAATTAAACATGAGGGGTTTTGGTGTAGCTACTGGATTTAATACTCAGTGCTAGGCTAGTGTCAGGACCATCAGATTCAGTTAAGATTCTGAGGCACTACAGATCACCTACCTGCCCAGCTGTGTCTACAAGTTGAAGATGATATTCTTGTCCATTTACAGTGATCAACTTCGTAAAAGCTAGAGAAAAAGATAATTAAATATTAGTTAAAAACAAAAACATCGAGGCTCCTTAAAGCTTGAACAAAGATAACAAATTAGGCTGAGGTCCTAATAATCTCATAAAAAAATCCCACAAAACAAAAAAGAACAAACCTCTGAATTGTACAGATTCTTCCCCTACTTCCACCATGTAACGAAGAAACACTCTGGCGACTAACTGAAAACAAGCTTGTGTAAATCTTCAATCTTTTTAAAAGAAACTGAAATTAGGTAACAAATCATATCCTAAACAAGTACTCTGGATGCACTATCTGTGGACAGTCCTTCGTCTTGTATCAAAAGTGAAATACATTACAAGGTTTGAGATCTAGAATGAATCAAAAGCGCAAACCTTTCTATTTAGTTTATAGAAGGTCTGGTGTCACAGCACAAAGAACTAACATTAACTGAATCACTAAGAACTTTCATACACCAAAAAAATTGACAAATTTACTGAAAGATAAAATGGCAATGGAACAGATGTTCTGTGTTAAAGCTACCATGCCCACTCAGCTTACAGATGCTAGCAACCTGCCACAACTTTTCTCTATCAAAACCCAAACCCACTGCCGCTGAGTTGATTCTAACTCATAGCGACCTACACGACAGAGTAGAACGGTCTCATAGGGTTTCTGAGGAGCGGCTGATGGATTCGAACTGTCAACCTTTTGGTTAGCAGCCGTAGCTCTTAACCACTGCGCCAACGGGGCTTCTTCTATGAAGGGGGTGAGGTGGGGTGAGAAATCAGACTCACATAACTTCCAGAAAAGTCAATTTAGAATTCTAAGGAGACAGACTTCAAACAAATATAGACGTAAGAGTAGAGACTATTAACAGCAACAGAATATTAAAAAGTAACCATCTGGAGATCTGACAGCTAAATGGAACATAACTGCTTCTGCATACCCTGCCCTGCTATCATCAGTCATGAAGAATCCTCAAATCCCCTGGCTGCCCATTCCACTTGATGACAACCCAGCAGCAGAATCTACCCTTGCACAGTGAGAGAACTCGCTTCTGCCCACTTTGTCCCACAGTTAAAAGGTCAAGCAAAAACAGAGACATGGAAATCATGCTAAGAGACGAAGAGGGGCAGGTAGATCTCATTTGAATTTTATGAGTTCTACAGGGAGAGAAAGAATGGCTGAGAGAAAAGCAATAATCAAAGAGAATCAAATTAACATACATTTCTGATCCAAGCAGGGGTGCCAGAAGTCAGCTGAGTGAAGACTACAGACCAGTCTACTAAAATAAAAGTTGTTGTTGTTAGGCGTCAACTCAGCACAAAAGAACAAACACTGCCTGGTCCTGAGCCATCCTCACAATTGTTGCTATGTTTAAGCCCACTGCTGCAGTCACCATGTCATTCCGTCTCATCGAGGGTCTTCTTCTTTTTCTCTGACCTTCTACCTTACCAAGCATGACGTCCTTCTCCAGGGACTGGTCCCTCCTAATAACATGTCCAAAGTACAAGAGACGAAGTCTCACCATCCTCGCTTCCAAGGAACACTCTGGCTATACTTCTTCCAAGACAGACTTGTTCGTTCTTCTGGCAGTCCATGGTATATTCAGTATTCTTCAACAACACCATAATTCAAAGGCATCAATTCTTCAGTCTTCCTTATTCACTGTCCAGCTTTCACATGCATATGAGACGACTAAAAATATTATGGCTCGGGTCAGGTGCACCTTAGTTCTGAAAGTCACATCTTTGCTTTTCAGCACTTTAAAGAGGTCTTTTGCAGCAGATTCCCCCAATACCATACACTGTTTGATTTATTGACTGCTGCTTCCACGGGTGTTGATTGTAGATCCAAGTAAAATCGAATCTTTGACAACTTCAATATTTTCTTTATCATGATGTTGCTTATTGGTTCAGTTGTGAGAATTTTTGTTTTATGTTGAGCTGTAATCCATACTGAAGGCTGTAGTCTTTGATCTTCATCAGTAAGTGCTTCAAGTCCTCTTCACTTTCAGCAAGCAAGGTTGTGTCATCTGCATATTGCAGTCTGTTAATGAGTCTTCCTCTAATCCTGATTCTTCTTCGTATAGTCCAACTTCTCGGATTATTTTCTCAGCATGCAGACTGAGTAAGTATGGTGAAAGGATACAATCCTGATGTACACCTTTCCTGATTTAAACCACACATTATCTCCTTGCTCTGTCTGAATGACTGTTTCTTGGTCTATGTACAGGTTCTACATGAGCACAATTAAGTGTTCTGGAATTCCCATTCTTCGAAATGTTATCCATAATTTGTTATGATTCACATAGTTAAAAACCTCTACACAGTCAATAAAACACAGGAAACATCCTTCTGGTACTGTCTGCTTTCAGCCAGGATCCATCTGACATCAACAGTGATATCTCTCGTTCCACATCCTCTTCTGAATTCAACTTGAATTCCCTGTTGATACACGGATAACTTTTGACTTACCTTCAGCAAAATTTTACTTGTGTGATATTACTGATATTGTTTGATAATTTCCACATTCTGCTGGATCATCTTTCTTTGGAATGGGCACAAATATGGATCTCTTCCTGTCAGCTGGCCGAACTTCTTGGCATAGACGAGTGAGCACCTCCAGCGCTGCATTCGTTTGTTGTAACATCTCCACTGGTATTCCGTCAATTCCTAAGGCCTGTTCTTCACCAGTGCCTTCAGTGCAGCTTGGACTTCTTTCAATACTATCAGTCCTTGATTATATGCTACCTCCTGAAATGTTCAAACATTGGCCAACAGTGACTCTGTGTATTCCTGTCATCTTTTGATGCTTCCTGTGTCATTCAATATTTTGCCCATAGAATCCTTCAAAATTGCAACTCGAGGCTTGGATTTTTTCTTCAGTTCTTTCAGCTTGAGAAATGCTGTGTGTGTTCTTCCTTTGGTGTTCTAACTCCAGTTCTCTGCACATTTCATTATAATACTTTGTCTTCTCAAGCTGCCCTTTGAAATCTTCTGTTCAGCTCTTTTAATTCATTATTTTTTCCATTTGCTTTAGACACTCTTCGTTCAAGTGCAAGTTTCAGAGTCTCTCCTGACAACCATTTTGGTCTTTTCTTTCTTTCCTGTCTTTTAAATGACCTTCTGCTTTCTCTATGTATGATGTCCTCCCACAACCTGTTTGGTCTTCAGTCATTAGTGTTCAGTGCATTACACCTGTTTTTGAGATGGTCTCCAAATTCAGGTGGGATACATGCAAGATTCTATTTTGGTTCTCATGGATTTGTTTTAATTTTCTTCAGCTTGAACTTGCATATGAGCAACTGATGGTCTGTTCCACGGCCCCTAGCCTTGTTCTGACTGATGATATTGAGCTGTCCCATCATCTCTTTCCCATAATGTAGCCAATTTGATTCCTGTGTTTTCCATCTGCTGAGGTCTACATGTATAGCAATCGTTTATGTTGTTGAAAAAAGGTATTTGCAATGAGTAAGTCATTGCTCTTGCAAATTTCTGTGATGCAATCCCCCACATCATTTCTGTCACCAAGGCCGTATTTTCCAACTACTATCCTTCTTCTTCATTTCCAACTTTCGTATTCCAATCGCCAGTAATTGTCAATGCATCTTGATTGCATGTTTGATCAATTTCAGGCTGCAGAAGTTCATAAAAATCTTCAATTTTCTCATCTTTGGCATTTGTGGTGGGTGTATAAATTTGACTAATGGTCGTATTAACTGGTCTTCCTTGTAGGCATATGGATATTCTTCTATCACTGACAGTGTTGTACTTCAGGACTGATCTTGAAGTATTCTTTTTGACAATGACTGTGACACCATTCCTCTTCAATTTTTTATTGCCAACATAGTAGACCATATGACTGATTCAAAATGGCCAATACCACTCCATTTCAGCTCACTAATGGCTAGAAGATCAACCTTTATGCGTTCCATTTCATTTTTGATGACTTTTAATTTTCCTAGATTCATACTGGGTGCATTCCATGTTCCGATTATTAATGGATGTTTGCAGTTGTTTATTCTCATTTTGAGTTGTACTACATCAGCAAATGAAGGTCCAGGAAGCTTTACTCCATCTATGTCATTAAGGCCGACTCCACTTTGAGGAGGCAGCTCTTCATATTTTGAGTGCCTTCCAACCTTGAGGGGCTCATCTTCTAGCACTGTTATCAGATAATGTTCTACTGCTATTTATAAGGTTTCACTGGCCTATTTTTTCAGATGTTGACTGCAAGGTCCTTCTCCCTAGTCTGTTTAGTCTGGAAGCTCCACTGAAACCTGTCCATCATGGAAGATCCTGCTGGTACTTGAAATACCAGTGGCATAGCTTCCCGCATCCCAGCAACGCACAAGCCACGACAGTATGACAAACTGACAGGTATGTGGTGGTGCAAAAGGAGTGTGACCCTAGAATTGTGTATACTGCCAAACTTTTTATCATTTTTGTTCCCCTTCTAGAAATTATCACTTTAAGGAAACAGTTAAACCAGTTGAAAACAGAACCAGAGTTCAGAGAAGGTGCTGGGGCTATACATTTGTCAGTCACTAGCAGATTGATATTTCAAGTCAGAGGAGTGGGAGGGATGATCATAAGAGAGGGGAAGTGTAGAAAAAAGTCCTGAGCCTGAGGTTGCAGCCTTGGGGCACCATATATTGGCAAGTCAGAAAAAAGAAGAGGATCCAGTAGACGTGAAGTACTAGCCAGTGAGGTGAAAGTAAAAAGCTAGGAGATTAACTGTACGTAAAATCTAAAAGAAATAAAATATTAAGAGACTTTTTAGAATATTTTTGCACATAAAAAAGACGTGAATCCTTCTACAGAAAGTAGTTTAATGAAACAGAAGAATTTCCATCTGTCATAGGAAAACTGCCTCTTCTTATTACTATAGAAAAAAATGAAGTGCACTAACATATCTATATAAAATCCTCAATTCTATCGACCAGGAACAAATTCTGCTATGTCCCCTACTTTCTACCTTGTGTAAAAATGGAAAGCTGAATTTATCCTGGTATCA